ACACCACACTAGGTATACTTGTACAAGTGATTAGACTGCATTATACAACTGACTAGACTGAGGTGTCAATCTAGGTACAAAAGTGACAAGAATTTAGTCATTCTCAGACTGCAACAGTTCTAGAAAAAGGTAGCCATGTTAATGTGTTTCAGCAGCTATAGAAAAACAAGACACGTGTACATAAACACACACACACACACACGGGTTGTTAAAATAGCTACTGAGTAGCATCCACTTCAAACTGTCGGCAGAAGGTGACCATCTGGGATAGGGAAGGGAAGCAGGGAACAAGACTGCCAGAGTTGTGTCACTCCATCCAGATGGATATGGAACATGGCAAGAGGGACACACTGAAGAGTGTTAGATCCCTGAAGGATAGATAGGGGGTCAGTTGCAGCCCCCTTTGCAGCTTGCAGTGGAAGAACTATAATTAGGAGCATTAGGACTGCTGCCTCTGGAGGTGCTCTCGGTTTCTACAAGGAGTAAAAAATTGCTCTAAAGTCTTAATTGGAAAATCTGCTTTTTAAATAACTGGTTCAGAGGAGGAGCCAGGAGCATTCTGTGTCACCAGTGTCCTTGGAAAGAATCCCAGGCATAAAGTGCATGGCATGGGGGTGGGGGTGGGGGGGGAAGGTGAAGGAGTTTAAGAGAGCAGGAAACCTCTGGATGCCTCGAGAGCTGCTTGTACTTCTATAAAAGACTATTCCTGTCTTGTCTCAGACGCAGTTTTGAAGAGGGCCCAGGGAAGTGTTCCGTAAGCTCCTGCAGGGCATGTAAATCAAGATGATTTATCGTATTGCCTGTCTAGAAATCTATTTCTTTACGTGCCAAGTTTCTTCCTTTAATTATCATAATCACAGTGCTGCTGCCATCCAGTTAGCTCGAGGATATCCTAGGCTGAACGTGTTTAGTAAGAGTTGCTTTCTATGAATGGTGCCTGCCGAGATGAGTGCCACAAATAATCAGAATGTGGAGCAAGTGTCAGAAATGTAACAAGATGCAAGCTATAGTGTTCACGTGGGACTGTATCTTCATGTCCCCACTGTCTCACTCCTGAGCATAAACATGTGGAGGGGGATTTAGAGTTTGGATGCCAGGGAATCCGGCTTCCAAGCCAGCGACGTCCAACCTAGCATCTAGCCCATTCGTTAATTCTCATTTCTGCCTGAAAAGACGGCAGCTCCTTTCCGAGCCCGCCTGGGTTTTCAAATCCTCAGAGGGAAGCCTTTCTCTGAGTCCCAGCGTCCTGACAGGTGGCGGACACAAGTGAGGGCTGTCTCTGTTGCTGCTCCCAAGCTGGGTCTTCTTTGCACCGAGAGGCCAGGCAAAGACCTTGCTTTCGAGGCTGGCTTTTTCCTCAATAACAGGTTGCCCAAAGGAAGTCTCTGAAAAAAATGGGACTGCTGTGGGTTATTGTTGTTGGGTTTATGTTACATGTTTTGGTATCGTAAGATGCCCTGGGACCGCTTGAGAAGAAAGGTGGGATATAAATATTTTAAATAAATAATAAACTTTAGTTCAGCTACGATTCCTTTAATGTTTGGCTTTTAGCCAAGTATTAGCGTGGAAGGCTGAACAGTCCTGTGGGGAACTTTCTGCTTGTGGGAAGAAGGAGGCAGCACCACTCAGAGTACTATGGGATGTTACAGCATAACATTTAGAGGCAAATTGCTGGAAGTTTAGAAATCTCCATAGACCTTATCTGTTGTAGTTACAGATGTGGTCTATGGAGATTTCTAAACTTACTGCTATTTGCTTCCAAATGTCAACTATTTGCATAAGTGTGCAACAGGATTTCATGCTGTAAGTATTGGAACTGGGGTCAGGGTTGGGGTAAGGCATGGATTAAGCACTTTTTTTGCCTTTAGGGAGCCTGCCAGTTCTGCTTTTATATACTTTGCAAGACCTGTGTGAACATTGCTCATCCAGTCTTACTTTGTGCATCTTCATGGGCTCAAGTCAGCCACCATCAGATGCTATACACTTAGAGATGCAAAAAACAGCCTGGGCATGTGGCAGGCACCTGGCATGCCTCATTGTGTGGCTGGTCAAGTGTGTTCAAATTGATGGGTTTCTTGTATCTTACTGGGCTCATAGCACACTCTGAAGTTCAAAATACAGTGGTGCCTTGCAAGACGGGCACTCCGTTTAACGACAAATCCACATTACGATGAGGTTTTTGCTATCACAAAAGCGATCACAAAACAACGTTTTGAATGGGGGAATTTCACTGCGCGATGATCGGGTTCCCTGTTTCGGGAACCGATTTTCGCTTCCCGGCAATCAAAACAGCTGATCGCCGGGGTTTTAAAATGGCTACCGGGTGCTCAAAATGGCCCCCCGCTGTGTTTAGGAGCCATTTTTCGCTGCACAGGCACCCGAAAATGGCCGCCCCTATGGAGGATCTTCACTGGACGGTGAGTTCTTAGCTGATTGGAAGGCATTAACCAGGTTTTAATGCGTTTCAATGACTTTTTTATTTTCGCTTTACAACGTTTTCGTTCTACAGCAATTTTGCTGGAACGAATTAATGTTGTAATGCGAGGCACCACTGTATTCCAAATTGCCTTAGATGTTGCTTTCACATTTGTTGGGTATTGATCTGCTGTGTTTTTGGACACACACACACAAAAGGATGTCACCGAAAGCTGTTGGGATAAAGGGGGCTAAAACCCTGATGTTGTTTTAAGTGAATAAACAACCAAACATATGAGGAAGACAAGTTTATGAAGCATTTTTAGAAGGTGTCACTAATTTGTTTTAACACATGTGCATATCAGCTGCAGATTTTGTGCTTGCCACTGATCTTGTCTACATCTTATAGAAGAGGTAGATGAAAACTTTCCTAGTAATGTGCTTTTATTGCTTTCAGTGCTGAGTGGAGTCATTTTCAGGCATTAAATCTGTGCAGAGACTGAATGTTGCCATGTTCCATGGAAGGATATTATCCTGAGGAACGTGGAGCTTTGTTATGGTCAGTTTACTAATATCCTTGCTTCTGAAGACAGTACTTAGCCAGAATAAAGGAAAATGGTATGTGCCAGGCAAAGAAAAGTATTAATCAATCAGCTGCATGGTAGGGCCAAGGGAAAGATTATTGACATGAAATAGACGGGAAAAATGTCCAAGTCTCTTCCCTTCACATCTGTGAATGTGTTATTTTGACATTGTTTCCTCAAAACTAATATAGATAAATGTGTGTGTAATTCTGGTCGCTTTAGGGATAGTATATGTGTGTGCATTTTTGTGGAAGATGTTAGGAGTAGGATAGAAATCAAATCAAGCAATAAATAACACATATATTACATTTAATAATACATATACTATGCTAAGCAAACCTGTTGCTTAATATAGATAAGCTCCAGCTAGAGTGGGCCAGTTGAATCAATGGGAATTTGGTGAGTCAACTCAGTAACTTATTGTGCTAAAGGAAGTTATAATTAGAATAGGTCTATTAGAATGAATGGAGGAATTGACACACCAGATTCTATGGAAACATTTTAAAATATGCATATGTGAAGGTCTGAGCTTCTAATTTTTCTGTTTCCCTTCCTTGTATTCCTTTATGTTGAACATGTCATGAAGGCAAGATAAGGATTTTACTCCCCTCTGTACTGTGTGATGGAAAGACTATGTCTACGTAGTATCACTCTTTCTTTCACTATCTCTTCCACCCTTCCTGACTCTTGCCATGCCTTTGCTGGTGTTGCCTCATCCAGGTTCTGTATTTTCCCCTTTCCTCACCATTGGCTTTGTTTAGGGCTCTCAGCCTCCACTTTTTTCTTCTTATGTTGTGGAGAAGAATCAGACAACCACTTAGGAAGCATCTTGTGTGATGGGGAGCTGGTAGCATTTTAGAAACAGGAAATAGAAAGCAACCTTCACTCTTAATATGGATGGCTCTTTATTTCATCTTAAGCTGAAGCAGTTCGTGTTTTTAGCTTTGCTATGATAACAGAGATATCAAAGTTATAGTTAAGAATATGATTAATATGTACAGTATGTGAACAACTTAACCTTTGGTTGTTGTGGGTTTTTCGGGCTTCTTGGCCGTGTTCTGAAGGTTGTTCTTCCTGACGTTTCGCCAGTCTCTGTGGCTGGCACAGTTTGCTGTCCTCTGAAGATGCCGGCCATCCAATGATTTAGCTGACTTTGATTCATGTTATCTTTTCACTTTGTGTCATCTTCTTTAGTTTTTCTCTGGAATACATTTCCCGTAGCCAATCTTGTAATCTATATATAGCATATCTCTTTCCTTTTCATTATATTCTGAGAAGATTGTTTTAAATTTTCTGGAAATTTCTCTAATTCAGCTACAGATGTTAGGGACGAAATAAAAGGGGAAATTATATGCCTTATATCTAAACCAAATTTGAAGTATTCTCTTTAAAAAAGGGATTTTCCATTTCTTTTTTACTTTTCTTAACATTCCTCTAAAAATCAGATATTCTATATTGTCATTTAATTCTTTCATTTCCAAAGTCAAATCAGAGGATTTGGGGAAGACATAAGAACATGAATGAATCACAATTGATTTGCCAGATAATAAAACTTTATTAGGAAACCTTTGTTTAATTCATGATTAGAACTGAGGCAGTGGAAATAATTTTCCAAGTCATGCAGATAATTTTCCAGAAATCATGAAGGCAGTTTCCAGAGTGACATTGGCAACATTTTCATGTATTGATGCCTCTCCCTCTTTTATCATTACTGTACCATCATCCTTTCTCACAAGTTGCTATGCAAGACAGTGCAGTTGTTTTCTCATCCTCCCCACTATTTCCTTCAGTCTGGCTTCAGATACGAAGAGCTAATAGTGTGCCCCACAGACCAAAGGTGGCACGCTTTGCTGAATGATTCCCAAAGTGTGCTCATGGATGCCATATAGTTTGCAAAGCTCTCAAAAATGTTGAACATTTCATTTATTTTTTATTATTATTATTATTTTCCCTTGGAAGTGTAGGTAGCGCTTTCTGATTTGGCTTTTTGGTTTCATGTAGTACCTACTATGGAAGATTGTAAGGAACAAGAACCTGGGATGGACAACAATGTTACTCTGGTGCCTTTTGAGAGACCTGCTGTTATAGAGAAGCTGACGAGCAACATGGGAAAGCGTAAAAGCTCCACCCCACAGAAGTTTGTGGGTAAGCTTCAGATGAGCATTTTCATTGTTTGTAGCAAAAAGGGTAGCTTACTGTTAAACCGCAGACTTTTTAATGTTCTGATGTAGGACTGGTGCTTTCTAGAGGGAAGGGGAAACAACGGGCAAGGTTTCCAAGCAAAACTAGGAGATCTAGAAAAGTGCATGGTCCGTATGACACAATGTGACCTTCTGTGCAGGATCCAGTAGGTGCTGAAAACGGGGGGGGGGTTGTGTTAAATAGAATAAGAATATAGATTAAATATACTACAGCATAGAAAACAGACTAGATTGCTCACAGCTACTTAAGTCAGAAAGGAAATTCCTTCACATTGCATTACTGATAGTTTTAAAAAGCAGTATGGAAACCTAAATGCAGTTGTTAGTCCCAGTTGGAGTGAACCATTGAATGAATGTATTTATGGAAGAGTTGACTTACCATTCACCAATTGATTTGTTCTGTGATTCAGTGAGTCTACTCTAGTGTCCATATTTAACAGGGCATGTTTCTATAATCTTTATTTTGTGGCACAGCATTGTTTAAAACAGGTGTCTCCACTGTTAAAAGAACATTGCCTCTTTAGTCTCATCTGAACTATAGTTGGCATTCTCTGGTGGTAAAATGATGTTCTCTTCTGTTTTCCCAAAACAGTCAGTAGGCTATCAAGCCTTAACGTTTGTTGTGATTTCTGTGATTAAAAGTGGAGAAATGGGGAAGATGATTGTAAAAGCCAGGGGTGAGACATTACTGGCCTGTCTGTAGTACCATATGAAAGGATGTAAGATGCTGATGAACTGGGTAGAGGGGACAGATGGTTGTGTATTGAATCCACTATATAGTGCAGAGTTAATGGAAAGCCAGTGGAGGAGGAGAGTAGAAAACCTTTAAAATTTGGTGTGAAAGGAGAGGGGGGCAGTCTGAGTCCATGTTCAATCAATAATATACTTAAAATAATTTCACAAAGCCCTGTTGGTTAATTGGTTGTTAAATTATTAACATTTTTATCTCATCCTATGTCTAAAGACCACACGATAGGGTACGATCAATAAAAGTAACTTTTAAACTATTCTAAATCAATTCAGTAATTTACAACATTTCAACTTAATTGAAACAAAAGAGCAAGCAAGTCATCAGAATAAAAACAAAAATGAAAGAAGCCTAATTGCAAAAATTTGAAAGTTCAGAAGTACGTAACATAAGATGTTTGCACAAAAATTATGATTTCAGGGGAGGCAAAAACAATTGTATAGATAATGTAGTAGACACTGAAACTCAAAGAAATCTGGGAGGGAGCTAGGTAGATGTGATGCTTAAAAGAGATAGAGGCTTGAAAGGAGAAAGATGGGAAGCAAGGTAGCCTTATTCAAAACTCCACTCTGCTCAAGGTGTGTGTGTGTGTGTGTGTGTGTGTGTGTGTGTGTGTTTAACCCAAAGTGCTACCTTGCTGAAAAGTTTGATTTTCAAAATTCTCTTCAACTTGAGTGTAAATGGTGTGGAATGGTGTGTGAATACTGAAAACTGTGGCATAGGATAAATAAATGTGTATGTAGCAAGCTCAGGTTTTGCTGACATTTTCTGTCCACCTAATTGCCAAGTTTTGACTTCCCCTTAAGAATCCAGTTGACTGAACCACATGGTAGTTTAAATTTCGGCTGGGCATTTGTGTAGAACTTTTATCTATCCTTTTTTCAGTTTTTATATTAACTTGGTAGTGTGAGAGCCACAACAACACTAATGTTTTGTTCCTCCAGCAGCAGGCAAAGTGGAGGGCAGCTACTTTTTTTGGACTATAATTTCCAGAGTCTCCCAATCAGCATAACTGGGGGTGGGGGGGTGGTACGCAAACTGAAGCTTTTCTCACATTCGACTGAATGGATGATATCATCTTCTGCAGAATGACCTTTTATAAGAATGTCTTTTATAAACATTGCTGCTTGGTGTGACATTGGCTGAAATCTTGTTGCTTAGTATGCTGTGTTGCAACCAGAATAGGCCCATTTGACTCAATGGAACTTACGGACAAGTTGACTCACCAAGTCCCACTGATTCAGTGGGCCTACTCTAGTGCAACTTATTACACAAGGCAACAAGATTTCAGCCATCCTTTCCATGATAAGTTCTATGTGTCTTTCTAAAAACATCTGCTGTTTTAATGTACTTCATTATGTATGTATGTATGTATGTACTTCATATGTCCCTCAGTCATACAATAATTGTGTATTAACCCTCATAACACCTGTAAAGATAGGTCATTCCTTTGTAATGGATGGAGCAATGACACTCAGAGGCAGTGACCTTCCCTGGTGTTATCAGTGGAGTGCAATGGCTTAGTGCATGGCTTAGTGCAGTGGGCTGCTCTTTACTATCATTGATCTAGAATTTTGGAGAAAAGTCTAATGTGAATGTTACGGGCAACTTGACCTCAGAGGATACAGATAAAGTTTTCCAGTATTTCCCAAATGGCATCCAATGCTGGGACAATATATATTTCTGGAAATTTACTTTAGCTCAGGAATAAATTGAATGTTGCAGAAATTTCTAGAAGAGTTGTTGTGCTGGTTTGTATCTGTTGCAGCCAAACTAGTGAAGTCTTAAAAGGCTAAGAAATTTCATTTGGCATAATGAGTTTTTGTGGACCGCAGCCCACTTCCTCAAAGGAAATTCCATCTCAGTAGATAGATATTTATATGCCTGTGAGGTGATAGCTGGACTATGAAATGTAAGAGTAACTTCATTCTGGGTATTTTGCATTTTTTCCTATATTTAAACAAAAAACACATATGTGTAAATTGCTTATCCATTGAGTAAGAGTGTGGGTTTTCCCATATTTTCATTTTCACTTATATAAATGAAAAAAAGAATTTTGTTCCTACTAGCCAAGATAAGAAGTGTTTTCCTACTTTTTTTTGCAATTTTCTTTTCAGAGGGTTGATTTTGCATGAAGACTTTGTATTTTGCACAATAATTTTGTATTTTGCACAAAATGCAAGGTTTTGTACAAAATGCATTTTGAGGTCAACGCATTTTGAGGTCAAAATGCATTTGATTTGTGTGTGTATGTGTGCATGCACATGCGTGCGCACACACATATACTTTTTATTATTTATTTATTTGCTATTGCTGCTGCTGACATTCCCCCCCCAAAAAAAAACACATTTGTTGAAGAGCAGAAAATTCTTGATGTGTTGAGGCACATATTTGTCAGGGATTAGAAGATTTGTGTTTGTTATACATCCTTCCATCTGAAGGAATAGGCTACAGTAAAGAAAGCTGTATAATAAATACCACCTTTCACCTTGAGGCGCCATAAGGCTCTTCCTTGGATTTGCTCCGGGTATTAGAACAGTGTAAAATATGAAAATATATAGATTTTACTGTTGCTAGGAGAAAATCAACAAAGACAAAATGCAATTGATTAATGTGTTTTGATTTATTCATATGTGTTGGGGGGTGCCCATACATGCATGTGTGCACATGTGCACACAACAATACATAACTCTCTCTCTCTCTCTCTCTCTCTCTTTACATTTAACATGGTTTTGTTTTGCATGTTTTTCTGCAAGAACATTGTGATTTGTATGATAAGCAATATGTAGTAACTGTTTTAATAATTTATAATCTACAGGCCAGAGTTCTATGGGGAAATTTATTCCAACATAATTGCAGTTACAGAAATCATTGGAGCATATTGGCACTAATTGATGAGTTGCTACTTGCACTCCAGGTTGTTCTAGTAACATGACTTGACACATGGTCAGGAGTGTGATTAGACCTCATTAATTAGTGGCACTTCACCACTGTAATTTGTACAGTTATGTGGCATAAAACACCAGTAGAATTCAGACCTGTAAAATTGTAATAGGCTCTAAAATAAATCAAGTGTCTAGGCCATTGTAAAAAGTACCAAGAGTAGATTATTAGCTATGTTATGCTCTGAGAGGCTTGGAATTGTTTTGGAAACTTATGATCCTGGGGGGTCTTCCTTTGAATTAACCGTCTTCATTTACATGGAAAGGAAATGGGGTGCTGTGTTAGCTCCACATTTCTTGCTCGTTATCTCTGGTAGTGCTAAAGGAACCAAGAGGTTGCAAAAAAAACTCTGTCACCTTTGCATACAAAGTGGCCATGCTATTTTTGCGTGATAGCTTATTCTGAGATGAGGCAGCTATATTTCAAGAGCTCTTGAACAAGCTATGCCTCTCTTTCTTGATTTCAAGATGTTTTTCTGCCTGAGGGCTGCATCTCACTCTATGCGTTGTACTCCAGCATGCATGACAGATAGGAAGCAGATATCTGCAGCTTGTCAAATGTGAATAGTGTACCCGTGTCATATCAGACATATGCCCTTTAAAGCAGTGGTTCCCAACCTCTAGATTCCACTCTTCCCGTCCAATAATTTTTTTTTCATAGTCCCACGGACACTTCTCTGGAAATAAGCCCTGTTAAAGAATTGCCCGAATCCTATTAGAAAAAACAAAAACATGCACACAAGAGCAGTTGCACAAGCAGTCTCTCTCAGCAGTGTGTTTTTCAGTAGCATGACTGGTCACACAGTCACTTTCACAACCAGTACAGGCAAAGGTCTTGCAAAGGGTGGCCCTCTAGAGGGGGGTGGTCTGCTTGTTCTCTGTTTGCTTATAGGATTTTGGCTAGTGGGCTTTCCTTCTTAGATAATATGTATCAAGTGGTGCTGCAGATGATTTTTAAAAAATGACATTATGTAGGTCACCTTTTGCAAAATAAGTATTTAAATCCGATCTGTGTTTATTTTCCTGTTAAATTGTTTTTTTTCACTCATTACTTTCCTTTTTCATGTAGGTGAGAAGCTCATGAGGTATGGTTACCCAGACCTTCATTTCGACACAGGCTTACCCTATGAGAGAGATGCAGAGCTGATGCAAACTCACATGATGGACCAAGCGATCAACAATGCAATCTCTTACCTTGGGGCAGAGGGACTTCACCCACTGATGCAGCACGCACCCAGCACAATAGCTGATGTGGCACCTGTCATAAGTTCAGCTTATGCTCAGGTGTACAACTCTAACAGAATAGAAAGGCCAATGAGCAGAGAGACTACTGACAGCACTGAAAATAACATGGACGGACCTATCTCTCTCATCAGACCAAAGAGTCAACCCCAGGAAAGAGAGGCTTCTCCAAGCAATAGCTGCCTGGATTCCTCTGACTCAGAGAGCAGCCATGAAGACCACCAGTCCTTCCAAGGAAACCCTGCCTTAAATCCCAAAAGAAAGCAAAGCCCAGCTTACATGAAGGATGACTCCAAGGCTTTGGATGTCACTAAATCATCTAAGGGCTCTTTAAAGGATATCTACAAGGTCTTCAATGGAGAAGGAGAGCAGATAAGGGCCTTTAAATGTGAGCACTGTCGAGTTCTTTTCCTAGACCATGTCATGTACACCATCCACATGGGGTGTCATGGCTACCGGGACCCTCTAGAATGCAACATTTGTGGCTACCGGAGTCAGGACCGCTATGAGTTCTCCTCACATATTGTTCGAGGGGAGCATACGTTCCACTAGGCCTTCTTTTCCAAAGGGGACTCTGAAGTAGAAAAACAAACACTGCACATGAAGAAATAACTGCACTTACAATCCCACTTTTCCTCAGATGTTGACACATTCTTTGTCATTGCTGTTGTTCTTGTTCCTATTTTTTTTAAAAAAAGTTGTTATTTTTGTTGTTAATCTTATTTTGTGTATCTAGTCTCACTTGGCACCAGTAGTGTGTTGAAAAAGAAGGAAAGGGAGGGACCAGAGAGTTGTTCTGTTTTGTTCTCAGTGAGGGGGGCTATGTGTTTTTGGTTGTTTCTTCTCCTCCTCCTCATCATCATCTATTTCTCTCCCTCTCTATCTGAAAATTGGTGTTCATATTTGAGTGGGAACTGAAAGGCAGTCGACTTCTGTCACAATATTTTTCCATGTATTTTGTAATAATCATGGGTACGGCTGAACTCCATTAGGTGCTCTTAGCAAGTTGTCAGCTTTGAGTAGACAAAGAATTTTGGATAGATAAATTTCAGAGAAAAGCCCTTTCAGATGTGTAGATACATTTGGAGCTCTAGGATCTGGACAGAATACTAAATTTTAGAGTTGTCCGTTATTATGGGGGATGGGTGGGGAAAATTTCATATGAAGCTAATTGATATTCTGTAGATTTAGGAGCACAAGTGTTCTTCTGGAAGAGAACAGGTTACTTGTAATACCGAATGATATATAACAGAAGATTGATTTGCATATTGACATGACAACCCAGAGGACATTTAAAATCCTATAAACGTATTTTACTTATCCTAACATGCACTTTTTAAAAAAGAAAGTAAAAAAAGACAATTGTCGGTATGCTTCTTCATAGTAAACATAAATTTCTAAATGTATATGAGCACATGGTTAGCCTTAATTAGGCCTTGTGTACAAAGAAAACCCTTTTCCAGTCTAGTTCATTAGATACATAAGAATTGGCTCCTATGCATATTTACTTAGAAGTAAGTTCCAGTTAGTTCAGGAATTTACTTCTTAGTAAGTGTGTTCATTTCAGAAATAAAAAGTTTGTGTAACACCTACTGCTGCTTTAGAATTTGCTTTAAAATCTCAAATATCTTGATCATCAATGCATTTTACTGATGAAATCTGTCTGTGTTTTCACTTTATTTTCTGCAGTGTTAACCATTTAGCAGCCATCTAAAATGATGCTTACAGTTAGACGAGCACCAGAGGTTGGTCTTCTACTGTTCACTCTTTTGAGTTTTCTTGTATAATCTTGAATACCTGATTTTGTTGCAGTTGTGGATGGTTCAGGGTTGTTATCATGAATCAACAGTTCCCATTTACAAATGCAGGCATTTCCAGGTAACATAACAGCCTCTTCACACCTGCCACTTCTACGAAAAGCTGTGGGGGGGGGAATGTGCAAAATTTCACAAATCTCTTATTTGTGTGACATACAGTTTTGAAACCACAGCATGTGGCAGCTTCAAAATAGAGGTACACCTAGCAAGATCAACGTCTGTTTCATGTACTGCAGTTAATATTTCCCAAAATCATCTAGCAAAACTGTCATGTGTGAAACAGACTTTGGTCTCATATGCACAAGCACACCCACATCCAACATGTTTGCAATTTTGGGTCATTTTTGGGTTACTGTGTAGTTGGAATTTACAGGTAGTTGTGAATTCTCCTCCCAGGTAACTACCAGTGATAATGACCTCTTATTGTTTACAATGATCATTTACTTCAAGATGCAGAACTGAATCAAGAGCCCTGAATTATCCAGAGGTTAGTTTCTTGACTGACAACTCTCTTTAGCTTCTAGTTAATCCCTTGATCGTATTAGCGAATGAATGATTAAAGTGCATTAAGAGGTTACAGATTTTGAATTGTGGCTGTCTAAACAAGCCCTCTGTTGACTGTATAAATGTAGGTGAACAAAAGGTCTGGATTCTTAATTTTACTAGGGTTTTTTTTCTTATTACTTGGTTGTCGTTTTTTTAATCAGTGGCTACCTCACATTTTTCTATATCCTTAGTTAGCTTTCCCAGTCTTGAATTAAGATCTTTGCACATCATGTTGCAGAACTACAAAGAGATTAGATATTTAAAAAAAAATGCATGCTATAGAATACTTTGAAGATTGCTTCTAAACCAAAAAAATGCATGCTGTAGAATACTTTGAAGATTGCTTCTAAACCTTGAGCGTACTAGAGTTATTGATTTGGCATCCTACCCAGAACAAACACCTTACTCGGACTCCAAAATATATTTAAAGAAGAAACGTATATTCTTTTAGCCCTTCTCAGTACAAGGTAAGGAGAGTAAGCAACCACCGTGGAGTTTGCCTGGTAGTTTTAAAACAGCAGCGGTTGAAACCCTATATACCGTATTTTTCGCTCTATAAGACGCATCTTTCCATAAGACGCACCGATTTTTTAGGAGAAGAAACCAGGAAAATATAATCTGTTTTCTTTGCTCCATAAGACGCACAGACTTTCCACCCCCCGTTTTGTGGGGAAAAAGTGCGTCTTATGGTGCAAAAAATACGGTAATTTAGAACAAACACCTTACTCGGACTCCAAAATATATTTAAAGAAGAAACGTATATTCTTTTAGCCCTTCTCAGTACAAGGTACGGAGAGTAAGCAATCACCCTGGAGTTTGCCTGGTAGTTTTAAAACAGCAGCGGTTTAAACCCTATATAATCTTATTATATTTGTTCCTTGATTTATGAATATAAGTACTGAACAGTCTTTCTTCTGTTCACCAGCCTGTGTCAAAAGTAGATAGGAAGTGAGTGAGATTGATTTGAACTCTTATTCAGGAAACATGGTTACCCGTGCAGCCTATTTTCCACCAAGACCAGATGATTCTGCACATACTTCCCAGCATTAAAATGCTGTTCTGCAGAAATGCTGTCCTTCTCCTGCATCCCACACATACCCCCCAACTCTGTTTTGTAGGGTTGAGGAGCCCCTCAGAGCTGTTTGGGAGAGGGAGGAGGGGAGAGTCCTGTTGAAGAGAAGCCTGCTTGCACCGCATTGGATGTGACTGGTTAGCCTCTTTATAGTTTACATGAAAATTAACTCCAAAATTAAACCAAATTAAGTCAAGAATTATCTATGGGCTTTTCTTAACTAACAGCTCACTTCAACATCTGGTTAATCCCGTGTTCATGCTTCAAATGAGATGTTAAGGTGAATTAAGAGGGTACAGTTTTGAGACTGTGATTGTGTAAACAAGTTCACTGTTTTGAATGTATACTCGATTGTTTTTCTGAGCTACCTCTGCAGAAGATCCAAAAACACTCAGATTGCTCTTTGGACTAGTTTGGATTTCAAAACCAAAACAAAACACAACCATTAAGACTTCGGTGAATAAGTGGTTCACAGAGGAAAAGCCACTGCATTGTGCCCCTTGTGTCTCTGGATTTACTTTGAAATAGCTCTCATACATGTTTGCCAGGCTACCTTTTGACCTTCACGGTCTAGGTTCTGAAAAAAGAAAAAAAGTTTGTAGGTTGCAAGGGAGTCATTGTCTGTAAGGCAGCTAAGGGGCGAAAGGGTACCTGAAACATACAGGTGTGGTTCTAAGGGATTCTGGCCCTTCTCCTTTCTAAAAAGGAAAGGTTTTTTCCTTGTGGTTTACAGACTTCCAGATGACACAAACTCTAGAAAGATTATATGCCACTATATTAGTTCCTTTGTGCTTTCTTTTCTGCTGGTCATGTTACAAATGGCCCCACTCATTATTGTTATAAGTTTTTTAAAAAAGTTCCTAAACTGGAAGTGGAAAAAAAATGCCACACTCTCCATTCCATAATGGAATACACTAGAACAGTTTTTGGAAGAATTTTGAGAGCAAACATTTGGGATGCAAAGCTCCGACATAATTATGCCCATGATCTTCATTTCCTATGTACAAATCTGCACCTGTTGCGGGTTCAGAAGAGCAGAATTTGGGATCCTGGATACTGTTATATGGCAAATGTTTCCTGGATTTTTCTTCTTCCTATGACTGTTTGGTTATCATCATGGATTTGGTGAGAGGTGGAAAAAATGACTCTTCTGCTAATCAACGTAAGAGAAAGAAGCAAAATTGTGTTTGAATAGGAAATTTATCTAGAAAGAAAATATAGGTTTCTGTAGGGAATGGTTTTTAAAGAGCAAACTAGTTGCCAGGGAAAAAGCAATATTTCTGTTATTGGTCTTCCTGTGTCAGTACTCCGTGAAAGCCTCTTTTTTTGCATGTAAAGCTTTTTAGAAAAGCAGTATAATGTTCTGGAGAGACTGTGGGGCACAGGAACCTCCCACCACACTGTAGGTGTTCTTGCATGAGCACATGTGCGCGCACATGCTCACAGACACACACACTTCTAGGTGCCACTAGAATGCTATTTCTAACATTCCATCTGTCCAAGTCTGCCCCCCCTCCCTGCTTAAATAGGGGACAGATTTAGAACTATGTAAATTACAGCTCATTATGCCTTCTTGTAGTAAAAGAAGTATATCAGCCTTCACAGTGGTGGCAGGTTCAATGAAAATCCAAAAACCTAGGGATCTCTCCAAATATTTTAGCTCCTCTTGATTTCACTACCAAACATGCAGACTGCATGGGCAATGTTTCTGGGCTCAATATAAACCAAATGTTTGCTGAGTGTCATGGCAGGCCTACATTATTCTCATCTAAGAAGGCATGCCCCCTTTCCAAACCAAAGCAAAAAAACAAATATCTGCCACTTCATACAGAAGCAGTAATATATGTTACCATTTGTATTAAGATTCCAGCATTTTCTTTTTATTCTTTTTGCATTTATCCCCCACACAAAAAGTCTCTTCCTATACATATTTAAGAACAGGTTTTCTACACTGAGGGCTTGAACTATAATAATATCCTGTGCTCCTTATTAAATACTGTAGCATATTAATCAGAACAGTGTAAAACAATGTTCCTCAATCTTAGGTAACCCAGATGTTCTTGGACTGCAGCAGTCAGAAACCCCGGCCAGCATTGCAGGTGGTGAAGGCTTCTGGGAGTTGTAGTCCAAGAACACCTGGCTTACCCACAGTTGGGAAACACTGGTATAATGTGTTATTGCAAGAATAATTGTTGAAGATGGTATAATTGAATTCCGCATTGGCGTAGTAAGGCTGCAGTCCTTAAAAACATGTTAAAATAGTTTTGGTGAAAATATCATGGAGTTTCGGTGGCATGAATAGTTGTTGAAACTTGGCAGTATGTATAAAGTGAATTATTTCAGTATGATTACAATTCTTGTGAAACAAATTTTTGAAAAATTTAGGTGGTGAGATTTTAGCAGAGGTATTTGAAATTTGGTTACAGTTAATCAGATTTTGCCATGAATTCAGTCTCAGCTCAGCATTTTGGAAATCCAGCAGTTTTCAAGAAACACAATTTTAATTTCCAGTAAGTTTAAAAATTGCACATGTGGTACACAAAAGTTCATGCCAAATAAGAAATTATTTGTCTTTAATTTGCCACAGGATTCCTTCTTGGTTTTTAACTAAATCCTTATTTTCTTAATTTAAAGAGGTGGGGGGAAATGTAAAGTTGTTTGTAGTTCTTACTTGAAAATAAGTGATACTCCTATTAATAACAAGCATTAGTTTTTGTTCTTACAGTAAAAAAATGAAGTAAATGGAAGTACTCTTTTTTAC